TAATCCTTTCTTACAGAACCAGTTTCTTTTTCCAGCAATTAATGAAAAGGAAAACATGAAGTTTCAAGGCTGCAGACAAGATTTGCTGTTTGAACCAGATATACCATGTCTACCTCTTAGAATGTTAGGATTAAATAAATTAACACATCAAAGGTAATTGTGGAATGGAAACAAAGAGGATATGCTGTGAGGGTTTTGAATTTATCCCAAGGGGAAAAGAAAATCCACTTGATGGTCTGGCATTGGAGTATCATGATTAGATTTGCATTTCAGAAAGATCTTTCTGGACAGAGAAAAAATGGGAACTCCTTGGCCCAGAGGCAAGGAGACCAGGTGGGAGGCTGTGCTGCTGAACAAGGGTAGTGGCAGTGGGCTGAACTCTTCAGGAGGCAGAATTCATGGGATTTAGCCAGTGATTAGATAGATGTGAGGGATGAGAAGGAAGAGGAAGTCAGGTGTGACTCATGAAGATGGATCCCTAAGACTCCGGTACTCCCTCCTTGGTTGTACACATATCCCCCTTTTGAAGTTAGCTGTGGCCATGAAACTTGTTCAGGTGAGAATAAAAAGTGTGGTTACTTCCAGGTGTGCTTTAGAAACCAGTGTGCAATTGAACATGTAACAGTAACCAAGTAAAGATGGTGATTCTGTCAGCCTGGATCCAGCGTAAACAGAGACTCTGTGCCTCTGCCCCAAACCAAGTTGAACCTGGATCTTTGTCAACAAGTAAACAGAAACCTTTGTTTTTTAATCCACTGAGATTTGGGGGTTGTTACTGCAGCATAATTTAGCCTATCCTGATGGAAGCAGTAAGACATGATCATTCCAGATACATGTCCAAGTTAAGAACAGTACCTAGAAATGTGCACACAGAGTACGGGCTAGAAATCCATCTTAATGGGCAGTAATACCTACAGATACCAGGATTACATGAAAAACACTGGGTTGGGGGGAAGGGGAATATATTTCCCAGAAGAAACAATGGGTGCATTTTTAAAAGAAGAAAAAATTTAAATATGTACTTGGGCAATTATATTACTTATGATCTCAGAATTGATACTATATAAGGTGTTAGGTACTTGTCTATTTCAAGAGTTTCAAAAGTGGAGTGTCTGCTTGCTTATCCCATTTTAGAACACATGGAGGAAGAAAGAAGATAAAGAGTAGATAAGAAGCAAGAGAGAATCCCATTCTTCCATATATTCACCTTTCACAATCAGATCCTGCCTGTAAAATGTAAATACCACTACCTCCATCACTAGCAATAATTGCTAACAATTACTGAGAATTGACTATGTGTCAGGCAAATACTTAATGCCTTCACTACATAAGCTTATTTAACTCTTGTAATTCAGACTGGACTAATAAAGGATTATCTATTTCCAAAGCCTGTGCCTCTCATGGCTACTATATCTCACTTCCTCTATGAGGTAAGCCCTGATAATCATGGGTATTGGAAAAAAAATGAATTTTAACTGGAATAGTGGGTGGGGAAGATATGGGGATAATTTAAAAGTCAAGAACAGAAGAAGAAAAGAGAAATATGCCTGGAAAGAGGGCAGCTGTGGGAAGTCAGAGGGGCATGGGAGCACAGAGGGTGGAGATGGAATGAAGTTCTAGAAAACAGAAGGGAATGTTGGACTAAAACAAAAATCAGCCTGAGCTAAGTTTACCCTAGGTTAATTCAGTAAACTATTTTGGTTGAAACAGCAACTAAGCATAGAGTTAAGAATAACAGAAATGAACAAGATGTCATAGGCTATATCTAGTGGCTCCAAAACCCACCCTGCTTATGGTTATCAGTATGAATTTTCTAGTATGATGTACCTTATCCGCCATTCCTGAGTTCAAACCTCAGGAAGATGGGTGACTCTTAACGGGTTTCTAGATGGCTGAGCCTCCATTTATTACTCAGTAAAACTATGCCAATGATACCTATTTCAAGAGGCCATTTTTCTTGACCTCACAATGCCAAATTGAGAGTTGCTTCTCGTCAAGCTCAGTTTCAACTATATATATAATTACTTTAAATTATTTCCAAGGACGAATTATTCACACATTTAATATGTTAACAAGACACTATCAAAAGAAAAATCTATCTTAATTTTAAAGTATATAATGAGTCCTTAAATAGTCAAGATTATACTAGGCACAAATACACAATGATGAAATAAATCCAGGATTGAGACCCTACTGTCATTGTGAAATGGTTTACTCTACCATTTGTTTAGTAGACCTAGGTGTCCTTGGGTAATAATAGCAGTGATGGTCAAGAAAAGCCAACATGTGAGTGTATATTAAGCCAGGCTCTATTGCATGCATTTATCTTCATAGGATTATCCTAATAATCCTACGAATTAGGTGTCACTATACTTTCCCCATTTTGCAAATAAGAACTAAACCATTAAGATGATAAGCAACTTGACCAAGGTCAACAGACGTGGACAGCAGGACTCCCAGGCACCAGCCATGTGTTCCAGACCACAGTATATGCATACTCACCTTCTGCAGGGCTGATTTAAGGAATAAAAATCTGTGGAAAGGGCTTACTCTAGGAAAGTAGGTATGCAGTAGATGGACAAGAAAAGGCACAAATGTACAAGCTGTATTGGAGAACAAAGCAAACAGAATGAAACTCTGCCAGTTACTTAGTCCCAACCCTCTTTCAAAGTCGTAGGACCCTTAATCTAGTATTACCCAAGGCTGGATCAAAGTTCATGTTTATACTTCATACCACAGGATGTTGTAAAAAGGTACAAATTTAAGACAGGAAACATACAAACTATGGTAAAACCAACCTTTATCTCTACAGAAAACACCTTATTTTCATGCCTTCACATGCCTCATTCTACAGTCACTGCAGCTGTTGGTTAGAATCAACATGAGATTTGCGAAAAGCATGAAAAAAGTGAAGAAAAAAATTTTAATCACAAAGACGTAGCCTGGTTAGAATTATTTTTAATACAAAGCAGAATGACAAGTGTCTAGACATTAACCATAATTTATTTTTGAAACACAACAGTATGTTAGAATCACTAACATAAAATACATTAATTTCTATGGCTTTGAGCTATATCTCTTTACTTCCATACATAGTTTTAAGGTTAGCTGAAGCCTGGGAATCTCTATATGACCTCGTAGTTTAGTATCATTGAATTCAGGGAGCTCAGTGATCTAGTTTAACCCCATCACCTTAGGAAAGAAGCAAGGGCAAATAGGGTTAATAATTTGTTCCAAAGTTACTGAGTTTGTAAAGATCAGATTCAATCAGATGGTCTCACTAGCAGTGTTTCTATTCTTCAGTCAGTTGTGCTGAGATGTACACTAGTAGAGAAACCTAAACTAGATAAGCAGAACATATGAATACAAGGCAAAAAAGAGTGTAGATTAACAGAAATGAACAAGATGTCATTGACTATATCCAGTGGCTCCAAAACCCACCCTGCTTATGGTTATCAGTACGAATTTTCTAGTATGATGTACCTTATCAGCCATTCCTGAGAAGAAAACTTATATGCTCATTGGGCATATGTTACCTGTTCTATTTTGTTCTAGCCAGTACCTAGTGATTTCAAAATGAAGTTCCTCCAAAATAGGATAAACAGGAGGATTATCCCCTTTACATTGTATTAAAGCAAATTACTTGACGAAGACTAGGCCACTAGGCCTATTACAGATTTTGGGAAACTCCAAAAATGTGGAGTCCGTAGCTATCTATCCGCTCCATTGTTTACCCAAACACTTCCTGTAGCCCCAGGTCGTTAAAAACTTGAGGCAAAAGCCTGAATGCATTTATGCACGTAGGCGAGAAAGCTAGGAAGGTGAAGCCCTTATTAACCCTGTTGCCAAAGCTGCTAAAGAACTAAGATGAAAAATCTTTAAAATGGACATTTCCATTCATACCCCCTCGTAGTTAAAAGGACTCATCAGTTTTAATCAAACTCATGCCAAAAGGAAGTGTTCTTTCTCTACCAGATCTCATATTGACTTAGATTTGCTTATGAGATTTCTCAGGGTGCGACGTTAAGTATTTTTAACTCCTGTTGTCAATGTCATTTCTCTGCTGGCATGTATCTGATAGAGCGCCCTCCAAGGCCGTCACAAGATCTCTCAAAAACAGACTTGGAGAAGGATGGGACAGCGGGACACTTACCGAGAACACTGCATTCTGAAGCCCAAAAGGTATGGGGGTCAGTCTGGCCAAAGCTACCACTTTCAGGCCGCTTCCTCCCTCCACCACGCGAATAACGGCGCTCAGCTTCTCGCTTCTCTGGATTCTGGTGGCCACCCAGGCGGTGAGTAATCGCTTGCAGACCACATGAGCGATAAAGGTGCCGATGAGGACTCCCACCACCATCAGTCCCATGCCCAGCACGAAACCGTACAGGTAACCGGCGGCCACGTTGAGCACGATGTAACCCCAGCCGCAGGGGAACGAAACCACGATGAAGCCCACGACGAAGAGCAGGACCCCCAGCAGCGAGTCGAGGCTCTCCACCCAGAGCAGGAGGTGCTGCAGGTAGCGGCGGACCAGGGCCAGGGAAGCGAAGCACAGCGCGGCCAGCACGCAGACCAGCACTAGGCTCCGGCACCAACAGGTGCTGCCGAGGCAGCAGCTGCGCCAGTTTCTCACCTCCGCCACGCCGACCACCACGTTGCCGCCGCTGCAGCTCCCGGGGCCGCCCGCCAATGCCCCGCCCGGCGCCGGCAGCTCCGAGGCCGCAGGCGGACCGTGGCGCTCCAGATAGGCGCCGAGCAGGGCGCCCGAGGCCGCCGCCGCCGCAGCCGCCGCCGCCGCGCTCGCCCCGCCCCCGCGGGAGAGGCGGTCCACCGGGTCGTCCCCGCCCGCCGTCCGCGGCAGGGCCCAGCCGGCGAGTAGCTCCGCGCGGCCGGGGGGCGCGGCGTGCTGCAGGAGCTTGGGGGGCGTCTGGAGCAGGCTCCCGCCAGGGCTCCACATGCCTCGGCAGACGCGGGCCCTCAGCCGGCCAGGCCCTCCGCCACGCCGCGCGGCCAACGACCCTTCATGGCGTCCCGCACGCCCGGCTTCGACTCCCTGCGTCCGCTCTGGCGGCCTGGAGACGGCCGGGGAAGGAGACGAGGACACGGGGACGAGGAACGGTCCCGCAGAAAGTGAGTAAACTCCGGACCGCGCACCGGCCGAACCCGCCCCTTTTCCACCAGAAGGGGCGTGGCCTCGGGTACGTTGGGGCGAGGCCTGGAGCTGGCTGCATTCTGGTCCCGCCCCCGTGACGCAAAGCTCTTCTGGGTTGCGGGGATGGAGGGGAGGAGGCCGCTGGGTTGCGAGTCGCGCCTGCGGACTGCTGGGGCCGTAGCTGGAAGGAGGGAAAGCGCCGAGGGGATGCGGCGCGGGAGAGGGAGAGGGCTGCAGGGAGGTGAAGGGGCGGGGCCCGGCGCGCTCCCGGCCTCCCGAGGCGGGCGCGCGCGTGCCGCGTGTCAGGGGGCGCGCTCTTTCGCTCAGACCCTCTCCCAGTCCTCAAGCTCCTACGGTCCTGGCCGCGTATCTACTGGTCCTTTCTGCAGGAACCTCTGGTCCGAGCGGGCTGTTTTCGGGGCGCTCGCATCCACACTTTCTTTGCCGACCCTAGACGAAAAAGAGTTCTTAGTCCTCTTTAGAGAGGTTTTGCTAATTGTTTACCTCCCCAGGTAGTGAAGTCTCCCTGCGGATTTCAAGTCGTCGCTTGGTCCTTAAAGAACTGAAGAAATTTAGCACATTTAGACCATGTCCCTTTCGACCCCAGAGGTCCTTTAATGAGTGCCAGATACTTGGACTAGAGACTTCTCCGAAAGATTCACGAAGAGTATTTCTTAAGTGTTCACACTATCAGATGGCTTCTTCTCAAACTCTTTTTTGCTGGTTTCTTTTCTTCTTTTTGTCCCTTTTGAGCCAGTGTTCCCCTGAGTTTC